ACTTCCCCACGGAAACTAGTCTGTCTCTGTGCATGTGTTGTTTTTTCTCGCGTGTTTATGGTCGAGCCATCCACAGCGTTCCGTGGTCACTGCTGGCCAGTGACCCACGCGCAACATATGAAGGAATATAATTTTCCCCAAAATTGTTAGATCTAAAAGAAATAAGAAAAATCAAGAATATTATCAGAAAAAATATATAGTAGCTACAGTGTATTTGGGTTATTGGTAACCTCATTAACTGTGTATATTATGACAACTTTATTAGCTGAGCAGATTAAAATTTTAGTGTCTAATCATGAAAACAATTAAGTCTTTCCTTTTAGATGCAGGGTGATTTAAAATGCATATTTGTGATCCATTCAAACTTGTTAGATGCTATCGATCAGCAAAAACATGCAATATCGCTCCAGAAATTGGTGTTTATATGCCATAGTAAAATATTAATGTATTCATAATATAAAGATACTTTATGTTAAGCCTTGTACATGAGGGGTATTGTTTTAACTTAAAGTTTCAAATCTGAAAGACAAAAATCTAAGACCCCAGCTCTCCAAAGTTAATAAATGAATCTGCTAAAACTCACTTAAGCATAATAACAAGCAGGTTAAGTGACTTTTCTTTGACTAAAGGCTGAATTAGGAATAAATATATAGCAATTTGTATTATGCATTATTTGGTTTCAGGCATTTATATGTGACAATGGCCTTTACAAGTTAGCATGTGGCAGTTACCAAGGAGATGAAAAGATAATTCTGCTTCCCCAAAATTCTGGTAAGAATAGTACTCCTATAAAGACGAGAATTATTTTTTCATGTAATTACAAAGTCTAAATGGAAATTCAGCCATATTCTGAACACATATATCCATATATGTATCCATAATACCACACTAAAAATCAAGTCCTAGAAATATTTATAAATTAGAATGAATCTTAAACATTTGCAGTCATAATAATTACTTAGTAACTCAAAATTTAAACTCAGAGAAATGTAAATCAGAATGCGTAGGCAACAGGGTAAAGATTAAGAAAACGTTTTACTTCGTGGCATAGAGCCTGAAGCCATTTTGTCAATTCCCACATCGCATCACACTGGGATCATTAACAGCACGTGCAATTCTGTAAATGTGTTCTTAGGGCCTCTGTACTAAAAGGCACTGTCAAATTCTAAAACACTTCTACTCCTACCTAAGTAACTCACATTGTTTTCTGCATAAGATTTCATCCTAAAGGAATCAAGTAACAGTGGTACTTCATTACTAAATCGCACTCTGCACCCTGGCCAGGTAGCTCTGTTAGTTACAATGCCATTGTGATACACCAAGGTCATGGATTCAGTGTCCTGTAGGGGCACATACAAGAATCAACCAAGGAATGCATGAATATGTGCAGCAAGAAATGAACGGTTTTTTCCCTCTGTTTCTCTCCCTTCCTCTCTCTCTAAAAATAAATCAATATAATTTTTTAAAAATTCTTTGGAGATATATATATTATTACTGAAATGCCTTATAAAGCTTCTGGCTTGTGGTTTAGAATATAAAGTGTTCCACCCCACATGATATAAGAGAGAATAAAATTAAGTTCAAGATTTTTTTAAAGATTTAATTTATTTATTTTTAGAGAGGGGGAAGGAAGGGAGTAATAGTGGGAGAGAAACATGAATGTGTGTTTGCCTGTCATGTGCCCCCTACGCGGGACCTGGCCCACAACCCAGGCATGTGCCCTGACTGGGAATCGAACCAGTGACCTTTTTGTTTTCAGGCCGGCACTCAATCCACTGAGCCACACCAGGCAAGGCAAAGTTCAAAACTTTTTAAAAAACACACTGGCAATCTAGGGTGAGTTGTGGAGTACTAAACTAGCCTTAAGTTTATTTACTATATTGAATTTATTTATTTTTTAATCAGGAAATTTGAGGGTTATAATGTCTGAAATCTGCAGGGAAATCCAAAACCTAAAGACCCAGCGAAGAGGTGCACCTTGAGTTTCAGCTCTGCCTGGAGGCAGAATGATTTCTGTTTTATCTTTAAGTCTGCTTTCATCTCCCTCAGGTATGCAAATAATAAAATTTCCCCCACCTCTCTCTCTGGCATCACCTTTCCTTTTTTTATGTTTTTATTATATTTATTGGGGGGACATTCATTAATAAGATCATATGGGTTTCAAGTGCACATTTGTATGTTACATGATCTGTATGTTGTATGATGAACACCATCATAGGTTCATCCCCCTTGACCTCCACCAACCCCACCCCTTCCCTCTGGTAACCACCATAGTCTTGCGTGCGTCTGCGAGTTTCAGTTTTATATTCCACATATGAGTGAAATCATACGGCTTCTAACTTTTTCTATCTGACTTATTTTGCTTAGCATGATATTCTCAAGGCCCATCCATGTCACAAATGGCAGTATTTCATCTCTTCTGATGGCTGAATGGTATTCCATGGTGTATATGAAATACTACTCAGTATGTATGGACCCCATCTTCTCTATCCAATTATCCAATCAAGGTATGGAAGGATACCTTGGTTGTCCCCCTCTTGGCCACCATGAATAATGCTGCAGTGCACATAAGAGTGCATAAATCTTTGCAAATAAGTGTTTCCAAGATTTTGGGGTAGGTACTCAGAAGAGGGATTGCTGGCTCATATGGTAGCTCTGTTCTTAATTTTTTGAGGAACCTCCATACTATTTTCTATAGGGACTGTACCAGTTTGCATTCCCACCAGCAATGAGTGAGGGTTCCTTTTCCTCCACAACCTCTCCAACATTTGTTATTACTTGTCTTATAGATAACAGCCATTGTAATAGATGGTATCTCATTGCAGTTTTGATTTGCATTTCCCTAACAGTTAGTGAAGTTAAGCACCTTTTCATATATCTGTTGGCAGTTTGTATGCCTTCTTGGGAGAGGTGTCTGTTCAGAGTCTCCGCTTGTTTTCTAATTAGGTTGTTTGTTTGTTTGGTGTTGAGTTCTCTGAGTTATTTATATATTTTGGATATTAACCTTTGTTGGAGCTGTTGTGTTTAAATATATTCTCCCATTTTGTTGGTTGCCTTTTTGTTTTGTTGGTTATTTGGCTATACAGAAGCTTTTGAGTTTGATATAGTCCTATTCTTCTTTTTTTTTTTTTTGTCTTTACTTGCCTGTCATTGGGTCTAATTAACAAAATGTTTTCTACAATCCAGGCCCACAAGCTTAGTACCTACATTTTTCTTGTAAGTTATTAACTGTGTCAGACCTTATATTTAGATTGCCTTTGATTTTGGTTCACTGGCATCTTCAACTTCCTGCTTCAATATGTTCCTGCAAGGTTTGCAAAGAGTCATGAATTTGAAGCGAACATAGCTCAGGTTGGGAGCACTGCTTCTTCTAACTCTCTGTAGCCTGTGCTGGAACTCAGTTTTCAGTGCTATATGTAAAAAACCCATCTATGTTTCTAGGTGCACTTCTGCCTGTCCCTTCTACCTGGAGTATGAGACTCCAGGGTGTACATCCAGTGAATTTTATTTAACCACTCTGAAAACCACTACATTATGGACCTTTGTATGTGTACATTTGTGGATGTCTTCAACAATTACCGTGAGCAAATCCCAGAGTTTGTCCAAACTTTGAAAATAACCTATAGAGAGGCACAGTGTATAATGGACAGAAGAAATGGAATATAAAGATCAAATTTTTTGTTACCATTGTCCTTTTTATTCCAAAATCTTCATCTGCCATTACCACCACCATTATTATCCCAGTTGGTAGAAACTAATAGCAACATCTATATTTGTATTTATATATGAAAGAAGTATGTCATCAGCTTTTGGGGAAATCCTAGAGTAATGTCTTTCAAAATGTGGGTTCATTTCCATATTTTGTGAAGAATCAGAGATTATACTTATTCTATCTGTAAGCTATTTCGCCTGCCACAGTTCATAGACAATGGCAGAATAGACCAGACTTCTGGGTCAGAGACAAAGAACTTGAGCTCACAAACATGTTTGGAGTCCCACAGGACACATGCAGAGCAGTGCAGGTGAATGCCGAACACACAGTAGGTTTGTGTCATAACCGAGAATCCAGGACCATAGGAAACTCTTGGGTATTACAGGGCAGATTGCTAGAAAGCTTATACCATGTTTACCCCAGCATAAGACATTACCTTTAATATACTGGCCAAGATACAAACCTGCCCTCTGCCCAGAAGGAAGATTCTATTACATCATGCAAGACTTCTTGCTCCATGATCACACATCAAAAGATACTTTATAACCAAGTCCATTAGTGCCTTCTATGGTCTGAATTTTGTCCTCCCAATTTCATGTTTAAATATTAACTCCCAAGGTGAGGGTACTAGGAAGCAGGGGCTTTGGAAAGTGATTACACCATGAAAGTGGTATGTTCATGAATGGGATTAGTGCCCGTACAAAAGAAGCCTGCAAAAGCCCCATTGCCCCATCCCACCATGTAATGTTACAGTGAGAAGATCGTTTATAAAGAAGAGGGTTCTTAACAGCCACTGATTCTGCTGCCACTTCTGTCTTGACCTTCCCAGCCTACATAACTGTGAGAAATGAATTTCTGTGTTCATAAGTCACCTTTTCTGTGGCATTTTGTGGTCGCAGCCTGAAGACTCAAAGACAGTGCTAGTGCTCATGCAAACATGAGACACACCTGAAGAATCGTTTCTCAGTGGTCCATTAGTGCAGCATAACCCCCAACGTGGCCCACCCACATGCCTCCCTCATCCACTCCACACACATCACGATAAGGAGGTGTACAACCCCCATGCTTCCCCAGCCCAATGCCTCCCCCATCCCCCACCCTTGCCCCCACCCCCATGCCTTCCCCACCCTAATGCCTCCCTACCCCCTCCACACACCCCTGATGTGGCAGGTGTTCACCGTGTGCCCAGGAACATGGGGAAACCACACCTGCCAGAAAGCAGTCAAAGGACAGCCCATTCAACGGACAGGTGTTTCATTAAGGTGGTGGCTTATTGTTTACTTCTCACTCACATGGCATATTTTCTCGTCCAAGCCTGTGCCAAAGTATTATACTTCTCCCTATTCCTTAAGTACATTCTCGCAATGGATGGGACTAAGATGTTATCGAGATTGGGGTGGCAAAGCATGGAGCTGATGGATAACAATACTTTGGATATGGTAAGCACAGGCGACCACTGGGACTTCAGAATGTCTATATGGAAATGTCCTCTTCTGTCGATATTGGGGTGGTATATCCAGGTGGTGAAGTAAATCCATGGTGGGTAAAAGGGGTAATCATGTGAGAAGTATCTATTTAGGGAGAAGATCCCTCCCTCATAGGGGCTGTTGGAGGGGCCCATGATGATCCCCCTCCATGTGAAAATGTCATTTCCCACTGGCCCCGCAGAGCACATGGGAGGGGGGTCCTTAGTGATGTCCGTCAGTTCCTTTTGCAGGCGCTTTACAGCCGTGGACGCATCCACGGGAACGGGCCGTGTGGGGGCATCCTGATAGGGACAAGGGGGAACCACGGGTCAGGGGGGCCCATGGGTTAGGGTGGGCGTGGCTTACGGGGCCTGGGTTAGAGGGGCAGCCACCCCCCAGGTCGGTGGGTGGGTAAGAAGGCTGGAGCCGGGCTGTGGGGTGTGAGGCGCTGTCCGGGGACGGGGCCGGTGGGGGAGGAGGGGGGGAGGAAGGCAGAGTTGGGGACTCGGCTGGACCTGAGGGGCTCCTGCTCACCTGTGTCCCGCTGGTCCCTGGCACCTCCATGTCTGCCTCCTCCATCCCTGGCTCCTCCATCCCTGGCTCCTCCATCTCTACCTCCTCCATCTCTGGCACCTCCATCTCCTCCTCCTCCATCGCTGGGTCTGCCACTCAGAGCCTCAGCCCCGATGCTGCGCAGCCGGTACACACCGCCACCTTCCAAAAGGACCAACCACTCCTGCGGTCCCACCTGCCTCTGCGGTTGGCTTTGCTATGCGCACTGGGTGCCTGGAGACAGGAGAGGATACGTTCTGTGATGTCACGAGGGCCCACTGCTGATGTCAGCAAGTCAGTGGAGGGTGGGGCCAAGGGAGATAAGGGGCCTGAATGAGATGGGGTGGAGGGAGGGAGAGACCACGGAGGCGAGTGGGGGGGAGGGTGTGAGGGTCCATGGAGGGGAATGGAGGAAAATGGAGAAGGTGGAGGGTGGGTGGGACCACCAAGGGGAATGGGGGGGGGGGACCAAGGAGGGGCAGGATGGGGAGGTAGGCCGAGAGGTCAGGGGAGGGTGAAGAAGGCTGAGGATGGAAGGAGCCCAGGCTCCCTGGCTGGCCCACCGCGGGCGCCCTGTCCTGGTTAGTGGGGTCTCAGGCCCTCCCCCGCCAGCTGAGAGTCACCCCAATGTAGAGGAGCCTTTGGTTCCATGAATTCCTGCACCCCTCACCCACCCAGACTCACCTCCCTGAACAATTTCCCCCCTGGCTTCATGCTGACCTCTCTCCTGCCATTCTCGCTCCTGAGCTGGCCCTCCCTCCCTTTGTACGGACTCAGAGGCCCTGGGGAGTGAGCTTCCCATGTCTCCACCTTTTACTCCCTGATGCGGCCTGTGTGCTTCCCAAGACAGACAATTCCCTACATATTTAATTTTAGTGCTTCTAACCACGTTTGGTTTGATGTTGCACAATTCAAATGCCCAATTGAATATATGCTCAGATAAACACTGAAAAATTAATATGCTTCAGCTTGCTTTTTAAACTATCAAATACATGAAATGTATGTATCATAAATACACTTTAAAAATCATTTGTCCTCTTGGTAGGCTGCTGTAGAATATTTTTTATAATTAAAAACAAAGTTAGGAAGACTTCACTTAGGGTGGTAAACACACAATACAATATGCAGATGATGTATAGTAGAATTGCATACCTGAAACTTGTAAAATTTTATTACCCAATGTCACTCCAATAAATTTGATAAAAAAACATTTCTTTAATAACAGAAGTTACATGGTTATGTAAACATATTATAAACATATTATATATGTTTTTGTAAACATATTACTGACTTTTGTAAACATATTATATTTCTGGACAACCAAATACTTCATGAGCAAAATTCCTCTTTATGGGGTAGAAGCCTGTTTCTTTTTTTTAAATATTTTATTTATTTATTTTTAGAGAGAGGGGAAGGGAGGGAGAAAGAGAGGGAGAGAAACATCACTGTGTGGTTGCCTCTCATGCTCCCCCTACTGGGGACCTAGCCCGCAACCCAGGCATGTGCCCTGACTGGGAATCGAACCGGCGACCCTTTGGTTCACAGGCTGTCACTCAATCAACTGAACCACACCAGCCAGGGCTAGAAGCATGTTTTTGAAAATTAATAAGATAAATGGCTTAGTCCTTCCAGGGATATTCTGACGCTCAGGAAGGAGACAAATGGGAATGTCAAGAACTACTAGAAATCAGAGGAATCATGTTGCTAATAATGGTAAAACAGGGAATGATGAAACATGGAGTGAGAAAACACAAAGATACCACTTAATGCATTAATCATTCTACACTCTATTATCTATGTCACTGTTTCCAAACCTAAACCATAATTTGGAACCCTAAATAACAACCATGTACCATTGACTCAATGGACAAGGGAGAGGAGTTCAATGTCTCGGGGGTGGTGATGCTATTGAATACATTAGAAATCATTTGTTGAGTCAAAAGATTTTTATTACTTGAGTCCTGGCTAGTGTGGCCCAGTGGTTGAGTGCCGGCCTGGGAACCAAAAGATTGCTGGTTCGATTCCCAGTCAGTGCACCTGCCTGGGTTGCAAGCCAGGTCCCCAGTAGGGGGCTCACGAGAGGCAACCACACATCGATGTTTCCCTCTTTTTCTTCCTCCCTTCCCCTCTCTAAAAATAAATAAACAAAAAATCTTTTAAAAAATGAAGCACAGCACTCAAATATTCAATGGTAGTGAACTAATGGTTAAACATATGGTCAATTCGCAAGGTAGGATATGTAAAAACTAATGTTTTAAGAAAAAAGAAGGTAGTAAAATATCACGTTCCGTTTATCTATTCTATAATAAAATAGACTGCAGAATTGCAGGTATTATGTGAATAAAAATGTTCAGTGACACATTAAAGATGGTAAGGCAGACTTTATTCAGGGATATCACAATATGTATAGAGGCTACTGCCATGTGTTTTCACAGTGGAGGAGAGATACTGGCCTCCACTGCAAATGGGTGAGTAGGAATTTATAGCCAAGCAACAGAATGCAGGTCAGTGGACAGAAAGTTAATGAGGAAATAGCAGGAGTAGGAAGGGTTCAGTCTCAACTGATGCAACAGGATTCTCACGGAAGGTGGGCCAGGGTGATCAAGACACTCACTAGGCAGATGGTGAAAGATGAGGAACCACATCAGATATTGAGGATGCTTAGATATTAAGGGTGGAGGTTTCTGGGTAAATGGACTTAGGATTCTTCGCCGAAACTGGATTTTATAAGAAAGGACCTAGAAGTTTCAGAAACCTAACCAAAGTTTGCTCATGTAAAGGTGTTTGTCATAACTGAAAGACAAGAGAAATATGCAAAGACAAAAAAACTAACAATGATTTTATTAGGTTGATGGAATTATAAGCATTTCCCCCTTTTTCTAAATTAAAACTATATAACACCACTTTTTTTAACCATTTTTACCATAAACACTATTATAGATGTCCCCATTTCCCCCCACTTTGCCCACTTCCACCCAGCCCTGTCCCCATCCTTCAAAACCAAATGATTTCTTGTCCAGGAACATACATAATGTGAAGAGCTACTTTACTCTCATTACATCTACCATACCCATATTTGATCAATAAAATCTCTTGGCTGAATATCATAGTACAGCACATTCAAATTTGCCTCATCTTTGTTATTTGTAGTTATCAGACACATGGAAGTAACCTCTTGAGCTTTAGGGTAGTCTGAGTCTACATCTGCACATGAAAACTAATATTAAAAAATTGGCAGTCAGCAACAACATGTGCTTTAAATAAATATTTCTGCCTGATGTATCCGGATAATGAAAAAGAGAATAGATTCTTGCATATGAATGATTTTAACAACACCTCCAATTATCCATGCTTGCATTTTAGGCAGGTCCTGGGCCTAAATGGGGTAAAACATCAGACTGCAGTATAGCAACCCACTCCTTTAGCTCTGGAGTATTTCGTTTACTCAAGATGAGTCACAGGTGTGTGAAGATTGAACAATCAATAAGTGAAACACCAGATTTATACTGAAAAGAAATACCACAATCCTGGAAATACTGATAGGGGACTGAAGAGTTAGAAAATTGTAGTTTAAGGTAAAAAGTTATAAGCCTAGGCAGTAATGTATATGTTAAAGCATTTGTTTCAGAAACTACAGATAAGGCTCGTCCTGGCTCCTGGGAAAACAGCTGACCTCCTGGGGCACTGCTAGAGATTACCGCCTGGGGACAAGTGGAGGCATCCGGGCCTTTGTGTTCCAGTGGAGACAGACACCACCCAACTCTGGGAACAGCTAACTGCCCCGGACAGGAATGTTGCAGTTTCTGAATCTCAAAGCCCTCACCGCACCTTGTTTATCCACCCCCACCCCTTGTAAAAGGTCTGGCCTGGAAAGAAAAGGGAAGATGATCTGTTAAGGTGTGAACCCACCATCTTCTCAGATCCCCGGCCATCTGAATACAGCTCCCATAAAGATTCAGTCGCTGTCGTTGCTTACTGGGTTTGGTAGTGACAGGCAGCCCGAACGCCGGTGTCTTTTCCGGTTTCAATACCATACCTAATGTTATGTCTCTGTTATATCAAGTTTTACTACATTAGTAACTTTCTTGTGATAGGTTACATAAATTGACATCCTGGTCATTTCCCATTCATTCTTTATTCTCTCTGTTTAATTGAAGACAATACTTTTCTATTTCTGTCTAGTAATGTCAAACTGACATCTCATGGGAAGTTCTTCATAATAAACACTTACTCACTTTGTACAGATGCCTGTTTACATATTTCCCTTGAACCCACAGAGCAGCACCACTACGCTTTCCTAAGTTTTATACTTTTGGCATATTTAGTTTGTATCTTCTTTGAATGCAAATTATGCTACATTTAGTCTTAAAAGAGCAGCATTAGTATGCATGCAGTGGGTGGGTAAGGTGCTGCACAAAGGATTCTAATAGATGTCTCACTTCAATGTTATTTCTAATCATTGCATTTATGCCCTAAGGATTTTTTTGGTTATGTATTCATCAAGTTTTTGCTTTGTTACCACAGCATGTTTTCTTAAACTCTATTAAGACATACTGAATGTTTTCTTTTGATTTACTGCTGAGGCTGTAGTCATTATTATTGCTTTAAATGAGCACTTGCTTTGTTTCCATCCTCTTTGATCTGTTGCTCTTATTCATCATTATTCAAGTCCCCAAAGATGTAGACTCTGTTGATGCTCTGCTAAAGCTGGCAACCTAGTGGGTTTCTCCCCATCTCCTAAATCTGGACATATACTGTGATTTCTCAGTAGAATAAGATCAGTCAAATTCCTCCCTTATGAGTTTCATTATTATTTAAAAGATGAAGCAATGATTTGGAAAGTAACAAGATCACAGCAAGGCGTGCTTTCTCAAAGCATATTAGAAAGTGATGCTAACTTTACTTGCTGTTCCTGAACATAATAAAAATGCAAGAAAAAAGCTGTTTCCAATTCTATTTTCTAAAATGGCTTACAGATTATCTGTCTTGATTTCAAACAATTGAATATCTTCAGGAATCAGTTTTTCTAAAACAATGGGTTTTGCATATAAAATCTGATATTTATAGTTTCCTTTCTTTTACCTGACTGCTGAGTAGATTAT